CGTCGCGCGCCCCCGCCCGCGCCGGGGGGGGGGGGGGCGACGGCGACGGCGGCGGCGGCGTCATCGCCGCCGTCCGTAGCAATGCCCTTCTGGCCCGCTGCTGGCCTCGGCCCTTCGGGCCCGCTGCTGGCCCGAGTGAGCATCCTCCGGACCTGTTCTGGAGCGCGTCTTGGGAGGACCTCGCGGCGAGTCCAGCCGTGGCGACGCGACCCCCCTTAGAGGATGAGGAGGAGGAGGAGGAGGAGGAGGAGGAGGAGGAGGAGGAGGAGGGGGAGGAGGGGGAGGAGACCAGGCGGGGCTAGGACCAGGAAAAAATAGTTCCAGAGCGTTCCAGGACGTTCTCAGAGCGTTCCAGCGCGCTCTGGGACGGTCGCGGTGCCCGATACATAGTTCAGAACCGCCAGATCTCAGAGATCCCGGACTTATCCCAGTCCGATTTTGTCTTCGGCTTGGCTTCGTCTTTGGAGGATCAGAAGGAGGAGGAGGAAGGAGGAGGAGGAGGAGGAGGAGGATCCCCGAGGTGCGGAACACCTTCATACATATCGAGAGCGTGCCAGAGGTCGAGCGGATCGTGCAGACCATGCCAGACGGCCGCCGTTTCCCAGCCGACCCTCCGCGCGGGCCTCGCGGCTGCGTCTGGGAGGGCCGAGTGGTCGAGGTCGTCCTCCTTACCAGGGACAGCCTTCAGGGGGTGGATGACGCAGGAGGGAACTCGACGATCCTCAGAACCAGGGCTCGAGCTAAACGTTGTTTTGGTGACTGATCTCGTGGACGGTTTTCGTTTAGATTCCGTTTCGCAGCAGAGGCAGAAAACAAACAAAGCATAGCGAAGGAACACGAAACCAAAGCGAACAAGAAAAACACTATTTAGCTCGATCCCTGCTCAGGACGTGTGTCAGCCCAAGCGTGTACTTGCTTCGGTCGGCTCCGCCGAAAGCGCGCAGCCTGTGTCGGCCCTCGTTGCGCCGCCGTTGCGCCGTATGGAATCGCTTCGGTGGACAAGCACACGTCGGCGCCAGCACACGTGCTGAGGATCATCGGGGGACGTATCACCCTTCGGTCGCCCATGCATCGCCGATCGGGGGCTGATAACCAACCCCGCCAGTCGTGCGGTTTCGCTTTGGGGGGGCCCAATCGCCGACCGATCGGCGATGTGTCGCCGATTTCAGATCGGTGTTTCTCCCCCTGAGCCAGTCCTCCGTACAGTTGCCCCTCATTCTTGTAATCCTTCCCCCTTCCTCGTTTTATGTCCTCTCCTCTTCCCTCTCATCCTCTTCGTCCATGTCGCCGTCGTCGTCCTCTGGAGGAAGAGGACGAGAAGGACCTGAAAGGAAGAGGATCTGGAATGAGAAGTAGGAGTATAATGAATGAGAAGGACAATGATGAGGAGAGGGGGAGAACGAACAGTTCATGACGAGAAGGAGGGAGGATGAGGAGGCGGAGGTAGCAGATGCTCGGAGGCTGCCGCGGGGGCCTGCAAAAACGGGCTCCTGGCCGTCTACGAGTGGATATGTGTTTCAGTGGAGCCGACTTCCCTCTACGCGGATCGGATTTCGCACGTTGTGGATCTGAATTCCGTCTTGTGTTTTTCACAAGGGTCCGATTCATGCCCTTCTTCCAATTTATCCGCCGGCGTGCCTCTGGGCACGGAGTGGGCGTGTCCACAGGTCCTTTGGCTAATCCGTGAAGCCTCAATTCTCACTCACGAGGAGTCTCTTAGGGGCCCGGCTCCCAAATTCTCAAAACTTTCTCGGGGCTTGGCGCGTGTCTCCCGGGGCTTCCCGCGTGCCCCCTGGGCTCCTCCGCATCTCGTCGCGTGCTTACTTCGGGCCCAGGAAGGTCCCAAGACGGGCCAAGAGGGCCCCAAGAAGCCCCCAAAACGGTCCAAGAGGGCCCCGAGTCGCCGAAACGCGGCGGGCGCGGCTTTCGCAGCCAGTAGCAGCTCGCGCCGGCGGCCTAGGACTGCCGAGGCGGGCGCGCTGGCCAGACTCGCCCAGCTTGACTGGCCGACGCTGGCGGAGGCGCCCTGGCCAAAGCTTCAGCGAGCCCCCCCCCCCGCAGCAGGAGTCGGCAAAAAGCGCTTCGATCCTCCGCTGGGGGCGCTGGAGACAGAGGCAAAGGCAAAGGCGCTCTGCCGCCCCTGCGGCAGGCCGCACGCCCGTGCCTGGCAGGCTGCTTCTCTGGGCCTGGAGCCCCCAGCGGCTCCACGTCGCCGTCCGCTGCAGCACCGCGCAGGCGCTGCTCGGCCAGGCCGCGGCTCCCTCGGGGGCGGCCCGTTGCAGCGCCTCGCGGACGGGGGAGCGCGCGGGGCAGCGCTGCGGCGAGCCTATCGGGAACCAGGCCCGCCACGCTTGGCGCTGCCCCCGCGGTGGCGGCGTCATCCAGGCGCGCAGCGCGGCGACCTCGAGCGCGTCTGGGACCGCATCCATGCGGAGTGCGGCTTCCGCGTGGGGCAGCAAGCGCACGTCCCTTCGTGGGAGCGCTGGTGCCAGCGCTGCGGGGGCGGCGACGCGTGGGCAGGCGCAGGACAGACCGGTGGGCACATGCAGCTGCTGCGGGGCCGCGCTGCACAGAGAGGGAGAGAAGGAGAGAGAGGGATATACATATATATATAGAGGGAGAGAGAGAGAGAGAGAGACAGAGAGAGAGAGAGAAAGACAGGGAGGGAGAGATAGAGAGAGAGAGAGAGAGTAACACAAAACCATCCCCGACCTCGAAGTGCAGCGGGCGGATTGTCCCCGCCTGTACTTCGACGTCACCGCGCGCTTCAGCGTGCCTAGTGATGGGCGGTGCGCTGGCAGCCGCGGCTGGGCGCGACGGCGCGGTCAACGCCGCGGCGCAGGCCGACAAAAGTCGGCGTTACCCCGCCAGCCGTGCCCCGTGGGGCATGGACCGAGCCGCTGGCGCTCGCGACCTGGCGCGAGGCGACGCGGACATGCTTTGGCGAGGAGGCCGCGCCGGCCGCCGCGAGCGGCCTGGTCACCCGCTGGGGCCGGGAGCTGAGCGTGGCCCTCCACGAAGCCCCTTGCCCGCCAGCGGCGGATTGCGCAGGGCGCGGACCGCGACGGAGCCGACCTGGCGGTCCAGCTGCGGGCCCCGCGGCGGGCTAGCCAGGCTGCGAGGGGGGGTTGAGGGTCAAATACCAGTTCGTCGTGGAGTTGTTCTGGGTCCTGTCGGCGCACATCGTGTTCCGAGGGTGTGGGTGCGCGCAGGTGTCTCGACTTGTTCTGGCGCTTGCAGGGGGAGGAGGAAGAGGAGGACGACGAGGACGAGGAGAAGGAGGAGGCGGAGGAGGAAATGGGAGACGCGATCGGGAGGGGGAGATGAGAGACGCGATCAGGAGGAGGAGGAGCGGAAGAGCCGGGGGAGATCGGAGGAGGAGGAGGAGGAGGATGATGAAGAGGTGGAAGAGGAGCTTCAGCAGCATGCCAGGGTTCGAAACACCGACCTCAAGTCCAAACCTCAACAGCAGAACGACAGGATAGAGGGAGGTGGAGGGAGGTCGAGAAAATAACGAAGGGAAGGAAAGGAGGGTTCAAGGAGCCTTCCTTCAGAAGAGAACAACCTTCGCTTAACATTCAGTGTTGTTCCCAGTCTTCATTTGGCGATTAGTTCACGCTGAATTGGTAAGGGTGAAAGCCTCCTGCGTGTGGGGAAACCCCCGCATTCAATCCACACGGGAATTCACTCATGCATAGTGGTGTCTCGTAAGCGCAGGGACGGTAGTGTCTTCAGTCGGGTTCACTTCGAAATTCGCGGCGGCCGCGTTATAATGAGATGTCTTTTCGTGTATAGTGTGCCATCCTTTGTGTTGTTGGTCGGTGTGCGACTTTCGGCCTTTGTTGGTCGGTGGAGTAAGTTATTGCGATATGTCGGTTCTATCTTGCTACCGTTCGATGCCTTGTTGTTGTTGTTGGTTTGAGTTTGTGATTCCCTGCAGGTCATCCGTCAGCTTTTCCGCTATGTGTTTTCATTGCTGCTTCATCATTTTATTTATTCCAGATGCTTCCCGTTCTTGCGGCGGTGTCACGTTGTCGGGCCAATGTTCGTTCTTCCGGCGTTCCGTCGGCGCCCCAGGTGCACCTTTTGTACCTTGGCCGAGGTAAATCCCATGCCTCTTCTACACAAGCCGCTTTCGACAGCCAGCGGATACATCAGTGCCAGCCGACGTTCGATTCCCAAACATATCAAACCAATCCAAGAAGACATGGCCCCCTTCCATGCTTTGATATCCCGATCGGTCAGCCTCATCTTTGTTCCTCCCCTCATCGCCATCTCTGTTTTTTGTCCCTGGGCTGTCCGGTGCCCCCGAGTAGCTAGTTTTTCGGTCAGGCGCCGATGCAGGACGAGCAAACAATCAAGCCGTAATTCGCTCCGCCTCAGTCCCCCCTACTCCGAGATCCATGATGGGAGACCCGCATCATCCCACTATCGAGCTGGAGCGATGGGCCCAGCCCGACCGACTGTTGCCGAGGTGTGGCGGAAGGGTGCTTGTGCTCGAGAGAGTACCAGTCGCACAACACACAAACTCTCGGAACCCCAGACGTCTATGCTTATGCAGTTGTTTTTCTTCCTCTACCCTCGCCCCTCGCGCATTGGCCTCATTCCGACATCTGGAATGACGGCCTCAGCAGATAGGATCAGACAGCGCGAGGAGTCCGCGCGTGGCGCAAAGGTCGGCCTGAAGTCGCAAGTGGTTACGTTCTGCCTCGGGGGCCTTCGAGGAAATCGCCGCCCTCTGCGCGAACGCGCCCCGGTGTTGGCATTGCTCAGACGTGTGCTATTTTTCTCGGCGAGGACCGTCGAGGAGCCTTTTTTGGTCATCTTGCCAGAAAGATGCGAGGGAAGAAGAGGGCATCTCGGGCGCCTTCTGGACCCCTCGACCCCTGCCGGCATGGCCTCTGGTCGCCTTGCTCTGTGGCCACTGTCGCCAGGGTCGAGCTGTGCTGGCCGCCTCGTGCGAGGCACCTCTGCTTGCTTGGCGGCCGCGCGCGGCCGCCATGCTGCCGCCGCAGGCGGAAGGCCCCACTGCACACACGAAGCCGACATATGCACGGGGAATGGACGTCCGAGCGATGGGGAGCGGTGGTGCGGCTCCAGGCATGTTCCGGCAGGCGCTGGACGCCGAGCTGGCCGCCCAGCGCCCGCAGGAGGCGCCAGGCCGGCGCCGCCGCGCCTCCCGCGCGGCTCTCCCCGCCCTCTCGGGTCCTGCCAGGGGTGGCCCTGGCCCTCTTCGTCCTCGTCGTCCTCCTGCCCCTCCTGTTCATCTCCCGCCTCCTCCTCCCTTCCCCCTCGTCCCCCCTCTTCCGTCCTGCCTCCATCCTTCCCCTGCTCCTCCGAGCGGCGAACGCGTCTGTCCGGGCGCCCGAGCATTTTGATCGGGAGCGGGCGCAACCCCCCAACCCCAGAACCAGCGCCCCGCTCAGCGGTGACTGGTCCTGGAGCCGAGGGGGTGCGCCCGCCGGGACGCATACATTCCGATACACGGGAACGCCAACTTGGCGTTCCCGTGTATGGTGCGGAGCGCTGCGATGGTGCGGAGCGCCGCGAGCAGCGAGCAACGGCCCGCAGCGGGGGCAAGAAGCCGGAGTCAGCAACCAGCTGCCGCCCAGACGCGCCGCGGCGCCTGGCCAGCAGCAGCGCGTTGGCGCCAGCTCCTGCAGCCGCCCCGCCGCCGTCCGGCGCCTCGGAGGCGAGCCTTGGCCGTCACTGCCCAGAGCTGTCCGCGGCCGCCGCACCCAGTCAGCGGCTCCCAGGGCGCTGCGCGCAGGCCGTCCTGCTCCTCGTGTTGCGTGCTGGTCAGCCTTGCAGTGGCGCCCCCGAACCCAGAGTGCAGCTCAGCCCGGCGGCGCGCCTGAGCCGGCGCGCCACTTGGCGCTGCAGCGCGCAGTTGAGCGCTTTGTAGGCGTGCGCGAACTCCCCCGGTTGCGTGTCTTCCGGGAGCTCGCCCACCTGCGCGAGGAGCCCCTTCCGCGCCTCGGTGCCCAAGCGGCCCGAGGACCCCAGGGCGAACGCAGTCATGCGCTCGCCTCGATACCTCTCGTGTTTTTCGCGCTCGGCCCTGCGCGTGGCCTCAGCCGGCCGTCGCGCCGCGACCTGGAGCGCCGTTTCGTCGCCCGCCGCTGGTTGGCGGACAGTGACGTCCACCCACAAGGGGCCGTCCGCCTCCGCGTTGTGGAGGTCCAGTATGGCCCGTTCCAGGACCGGCGGGCATGGTCCTTTCGTTGGCCGCCGCGCGCGGTGCCTGTCCCACTCAGGGTTTCGCTGGGGCGAGCAGTGCCGCCACCTCCGCGCCAAGCTTCCCAGCGCTTTCGCCAGGTCGCGACCGTAGCGTCGCACAACACCGCCGCCATGTGCAGACTGGCATGTGCAGGCGTGGTAGCCGTCGTCGTTCAAGCGGGCCGAGCAGGTGGCGCCGCCCGCTGTTTGGTTGCAGCAAGTCGCGGAAACCCGCGCCAGGCCCCCGCGCGAGCATTGCGGCCGCGGCAGGTGCCAGCGGCGGCGGAGGGAGGTGCTCCAGTCCACGTCCTCCAAAGTGCAGAGCGGCTCCGTCGGGTATTGCAGAAACCTGCCCGCCCCAGGTCCGCTGGCCGACGGCAGAGTGGCCTGGTTGCGAAGATCTACCCGCTGCTTGGTAGCAGCGTTCGTTGTCTTGTGAAAAATCGCAACGACCACTTTCTGTCGCGTCTCCTCGCGGAGCGCTGCGGCCAGCGTGGCCCCTGGAGAGGGCTCGGCGCCTTGGCGCGCCAGCTCGGCGCGCGTTTCCTCGAGCTTCGCGCGGGTCTGCGGTAGCGTCTCGCGAGCGTCTGCGAGAGAGGCGGCGCCGAGGCCGCGTTGCGCCTCGTCTGCCTCCTGCGCCCAAACCGCCCAGAAAGCGGCCGCTCGGCGCGTCGCCGCCCACCAGGCCCCCGCGTCGCCCAGCTTCGCCGGCAAACCCAGCAAGTCGCAAGCCTCGAGCCCGAGCGTCCGCTCCGCCAGGTCCTCCCGGCAGGCGCGCAGCGCGGCGTCGTAGCGGTGCGTCTCGTCGTCCGTCGCCAGCGCGAGCTGCAGGTTGTGTTGGCTCGCGTTGCCAGCGCAGGTCCGCAGCAGCGCGGCCGCGGCCTGTCTCGAGAGCCCCCCTTGCTGCAGCTGCCGCAGGCGGCCCCAGAGCTGCTCCAGGCGCTCCCTGGGGCTGTCCAGGCCGCAGTTGCCCCCGCCGATAAGCAGCGGTGCCCCGGCGTCCGTCTGCGGGTCCCCTGGCAAGCGCAGGTGGGCTCCCAGTACCGGCAGTTTGGGCACGAAGTGGGCCGCGAGTTCCGCCTGAACCGCCTGGATCCCGCGCGGGGACCACACCGAAGTCTTGCGCGTGTTCAGCTCGAGCCCCAGCGGCGCGAGGGCTTTCGCCAGCGCCTGCAGAGTGCGAGCCCCCAGGTCGGCATTCACTGCCAAGTAGGCGTCGTCTGGGTCGGAGGAGGGCCGGGCTTCGGCGCCCAGCTGCTGCAGCTCGCCGTCGCGCAGGAGCTGCTCTGGCGCTCCCCGCTGCCCAGCCGCGAACCCAGCGGGGGACAAAGCGCCCCCCTTGGTCGAAGCTTCGCCAGCTGACCACTTCCTCGAAGCGCCCGTCTGCCCCCGCCAGAGGTGCACGGCTGGCCCCGTGCACCACGCTCTCAGCGCAGCCGCCACTTCGGGGACCTCTGCGCCCAGGGCTTCGGCGAGGGCCTGCAAGTGCTTCGGCAGCAGGCCGCCCCCCCCCCCCCTCCTCCGGCCCTCGCCGCGCTGGTGATCGCCAGCCGCGTCGGAGAGTTGCGTTCTGCGCGCCTGGGCAAAAGTGCGGAGGCCGAGGCGGCGGAGATTGGTTCCTCCTCCCTCCTCCCTCCCCCCTCCTCCCCTCACTCCTCCTCCTCGTCCTCCTCCTCCTCCTCCTCCTCCTCCTCCTACTCCTCCTCCCTCCTCCTCCTCCTCCTCCTCCTCCTCCTCCTCCTCCTCCTTTCCCTGTGGGGTGGGGAGCTGCCCGAGTGCCTGAGGGGCCTCTGGCGGTCGAGCGAGCGGCCTTCTCGGGCGCTGCCGGGCGTGTGCCTGGCCCGCGTCTCATGCCCCTCGGCGCGCCGGGAGAGGGAAGGGAAGGGGGGGGGCCCTCGGCGCGCGGGAGGGAAGCGGAAGGAGAGGGGACCGGGCAGGGGCTTCTCGGGATCGGGGGCGACGTTTGGCACTGCATGTGTCCAGGGCCGCCTGTGGCGCATGCCTCGGGCGAGGCTCCCCGGCGGGCCGCGTGTGACGCCCGCCCGGGGGCGATCCGCCCCTGTCGTCGCCGCCGATCGGAAGGCGTCGAGGCTTCTCAGAAGCCCAATGATGGCCTTTTGAGACGGGGCTCGTCGCTCGACTTGCACGGTGTTTTGACGATTTCGTGGGCCGTGTTCGTTTCGACCGCGTCGTGCGGCAAAAAGGCGGCTTGAAGACAAATCGCTGGAAAGTGAGGGCAAAACGGAAACGACAGAAAAACACTGCTCTGGTCGGTACCTGTGTGGGTGAGGAGCTCTCTGTGGCCTCGCTGGAGGCCTCCTGGGCCTCGGAATAAAGCAATGTCTGCTGCCTGTTGCAGCACAGCCCGCGCACTCCCTCATCCCCAGACCCTTCACGAAGGGGGAAGAAGAGAATGTGGAAGGAGGAATGACAATGGCGAAATTCAGGGGCAACGTTCGGGGGCATAATTCCCAATCATCTTGTGTTGAGTTGGGGTCTCGTTTTGGGTACGCACCACCCCGCGTCCTTCCGTCCTCGCTTCCTTCATCCTCCGCCACCTACCTCCTCGCCCTCTGCCTCAGAATTCCGTGGCTGGTCTCTGCTTCGGAACACCCCTCACACGCTCCGTGGCCCTTCAGGGAGCCCCACCAAAGGCCCCGGCGGCCGCGCTCGCATATTTTCTCAACATGTCGGCGCACCCTTCACACGCTTCGTGTTTCCATAGGGAGCTCCACCGAAGGACCCAGTGGCTGCGTTCGCATACCTTCTCCACGCACTTTCGTTGTACCCCTCGCACGCCCCCTGGCCCCACAGGGAGCTCCACCGCCCCAGTGGCTGCGTTCGCATACCTCCGTACAAGCTCGGCGCACCCCATCATGCGACACGTTTTGTGGCCCCGCAGGGAGCTGCACCGAAAGCCCCAGTGGTTGCGTTTGCATGCCTTCTCCAGACTATTTCGGCGCGCTCCTCACGCGCTTCGTGGCTCCAAAGGGAGCTCCACCGGAGGCCCCAGTTGCAGCGTTTGCATGCCCTCTCCACGTCAGTTCGGCACACATCTCGCTCGTTTCGTGGCTCCAAGGGGGGCCTCCACCGAATACCCCAGTGACAGGACTCGCACATGTGACCGCGCCCGTGTCGGCACACCCATCACACGTCTCGTGGCCCGCAAGTGGAGCTCCACTAAAGGCTCCATTGGCAGGGATCTCATGCGTAACCACACCTATTGTCGCGCTCCCCTCACCTGTTTCGTGGCCGCAGGGAGCTCCGCCAAATGCCCCAGTGGCAGGACTCGCATGCGTGACCGCGCCCACATCGGCACACTCCGCACACGCCGCTTGCTACCCCCCAGGGCCGCGCCGACAGACGCGCAGATTACCCGTAACGGATTACATCCAGATGTAGCCTACCGTAGCACCCCGCTGTTGCGGATAAGAGTGAGGGGGCGGCGGGGACGTTTGCAGTCTGCGAGGCTCTGAAGAAGCCCGCCGCAGCCGCAAATTTTCAAGCTATACAACGAGCCCGCCGAAGGCGCCGACCGCAAGTGGGTCGCGGGTGGGTCGACGGTGGGTCGCGGGCCCGGTTGCGGGTGGGTCGCGGGTGGGTCGCAAGCGGGTCGCGGGGTGGGTCGTGGGTGGGTCGCGGGGTGGGTCGCGGGTGGATCGCGGGCTGGGTCGCGGGGGGGACGACGACAACAAACACAACAACAAAAGCAACAACAACACCAGCAACAGCAACAAACTACAACAACAACAGCAACAGCAACAGCAATAATAGCAACAACAGCAACAACAACAGCAACAACAACAACAACGCAACACGCAGAGTCCTCACCACAGAGATCCGCACTTAAGCCACGCACCCAGGGACAATGAATGACCGTTCAGCCCCCTCACTCTGATTACGGTTGACCTCTGCGACCCTATCAGCAACGTCGTTCCGCTTTTCCTATCACGCCTCAGTCCTTCTGCTAGCCACCTCCATTAGTTTCCATTTGTCTTGCAGCATTCACGCTTGGGCCCCTCGCCAGGATCATTTGGGGGATCGGTTCGGGCCCCCTGGGCGTTCAGACAACGACTCGGGATGAATGACCAGTCCCCGGTGAAGGGGTCGACAGATGTTGTGGGCCCCACGTCTCGACGAAAGTATAGCCGGGACTGAAAAGCACAGTCGTTCGGATGTGTCAGAGGGTTCGGAGATTGTCTTGCATTGTTTCTTGGTGAAAGACGTCAGGATTTACAGGCCATTCAATGACGTCATCGTCTCTGCTTCTTTTTGGCACAACGCGCTCAAGCGTCGAGGCTGCGTGCAGGGTTGCTGGAGTCCTGCAGCGCAGAGGAGAAATACCTGAATTGAAACCATGTTCGCTTTCTCTCACTCGTCCGCCACCGAGAGCCCACGGGGGGACCCCTGGGCGGTGGCACGATCGAGCGTCGCCCAGTACAAGACGGCACCCAGGCGTGTCACTGCCCAGATGTCGGCCCCCCCGACGGGCTTTCGGCGGTGGTGATCCTCGTTTCTCCTCTGAAGTTGGGTGCCCTTCCGATCCTGACCAGGCCCATCTGCTGATCACGCACCGACCCCGAGGCACAGGATGGGGCCTGGCCAGGATGGGTCTCTATGCGCTCCGCTCTCTTTATTATATATGCGTATGGGAAGCCCTCCTCCTCCTCCTCCTCCTCCTCAGGTTCGTCGTCCTCCTCCTCCTCCCCTTATTTCTCCTCCCCCTCCTCCTCTCGTTCCTCCTCATCCTCCTCCTCTCGTTCCTCCTTCTCCTCCCGTACCTCCTCCTCCTCCTCTCATCCTCCTCCCTCATCCTGCTCCCTCCTCCTCCTCCTCCTCCTCCTCCTCCTCCTCCTCATCCTCCTACCCTCTCTTCTCCCCGTTTCTCCTCCTCCTCCTCCTCCTCCTCCTCCTCCTCCCCCTCCTCCTCCCCCTCCTCCTCCTCCTCCTCCCCCTCCTTCTCCCCCTCCTCCTCATCCGGTGCCCCCGAGCGCCCAGGCGCCGCGCCCGCGGCACCTCCGCCGCCCGTGCCGCCGCCGGCGCAGGCCGCGCGCCCGGCTGGCTCTCGGGACCCGACGCCGACGAGGGCGCCCCTGCGCGTCGTCGCTGTCTCGGGCTGGACGGAGGAAGTCCCACCGTACTCCAGAAGTTGGCCCACGATCTGCTGCCCGGGTCGAGGACCCCACGGGGGGAGGGGGTGAGCAGGCCCTGAGCAGGCCGCCCCGCCGAGCCGCGGCGGCACCCGCGCGGGGAGCCGCCCACCCCGGCGGTGCTCTGCCGCTCTCGGGAGCCGGAGGCTCCTCGTGAGTGGAGGGCCCCCGCTTCGCCAGAGTCGGGCCTGACGCAAGGGGGGGTGTAGGGCAAGGGGGGGTTACGAAAGTTGTTGCATGCACATTGCTGGGGTTGCCCGAAGGATGGCCCCGTTGGCTCTGTCCCTTCGTCGTCCTGTTTCTGTTCCTTGGGCCATTTCGGGGTTCGACGGTGGCCCCTGTCAGAGCCATTATTGTGCAACTCGGGGCTCCCGCCGCTGGGGCCTGCCCCCAGTAGTATACCACGCACGGTATGTCGTTCAACTCGAACTTATTTTCGATTGTTGAGGTTTTTCGGAGATCATTCTCGACTCGGCCCGTTACCGCTTCGCCGCCGCCGCCCCCTCATCGTCGTCCTCTTCCTTCCTCTTCCTCGTCGTCCTCCCTCTTCCTCGTCTTCGCTCGGAGCCGCTGCTCCAGGCCTTCCCAGGCGGCCGCTGCCGCCCACTCTCCTGCCAGCCCTCATTCGATTCGGATGATGGCCCCAGCCTGGTCCCTGGTCCCTCGTTTTCGTTGCACGCTGCACGCCGCCACTGCATCGGCGGCGCATCTGGCGATGCGGCGCGGCCTGCCAACACCATCGGCTCTGGCCCCACGGGGGTGGCTCCAGGTGCACAGCTGCCTGTTTCTGCCACCCTCCCCCGAAGTGGGGATCCTGAGATCCGCACATCGGCGCTCGGTCCCTTGACCTCGCCGAATCGCTCGAGGACAATAGGAGGGAAGCAGGAAGAGGAGGAGGAAGGAGGAAACAGAGGAGGAAAAGCAGGAAGAGGAAGAGGAGGAGCAGGAACAGGAACAGGAACAGGAGCATGGAGGAGGAAAACAAGCGGGAGGATCGAGGATCAAGGATCGAACCCTGAGACTTGAGGTTGCAACAAATTGCAGCATCGCAACAGATCACCACGAGAACCCCGAATCCGATTTCTCTGCGTCATTTATCTCGCTGGATCGCTCCGTGCGATTCAGAGGGGCGGGAACGGGGCGAAAACGCGCATGATGAAGCACTTGCAGCGCCAGGGTCTCAGGGAAGGTGCCTTCTGCTTCGGGTCGTCGGAGGTCGGCCCCTCCCCCGCGCGGGCGCCCGCGCGCGCCCTGCCGCTCAGCGAGGCGGCGCCGGCGGGTTCCGAGCTGCACGACGCGGCGCTGGTGCCGGGCACTGAGGCGGGGCGCCCAGCAGGGTTCGGGGCGGTACCCTGGGTGCCCTTGGCCCACCAGGTGCCGCCAGGATTGGCAGGGAGGTCCCCGCTTGCAGCCGGCTGGGGATCTGAGGTCGCCCAGGACTGGTTCCGGCGAGCAGGGGGGCAGGTAGGTTCGAGGTTTTTTGGTTCGGGGAGGTTTTTTACCTTTTAAGAACTCCAGGGGCCTTTTGCGGGCCCCAGACCGTCAGAAAACGATATGGGGCGAAAAATTGCAAGATAGACTCCAGGATGGGTCGGGGGGGCGATTTTGGCTGAATTTGGCTTCGCCCCCCCTCTGACAGATATTCTGTGGCCCCAACCAGTTCAGACCCCCCAGCGGCCTCCAAACCGAAGCCCCCGCCGCCTCCAGAGCCCACAGGAGGAAAAGGTACCGTTGCTGATGAACTCTCGCTCCCGAACCTATCGGCTGCATGAGCCCGATGAGCTCAAGAAGGCTCATAGGCTTATAGGGGTCGGCTTGCCACCGTCGGGAGAACCATCGGAAGAACCACCGTGAAAGCCATCGGGTCAACCGTCGGGACAACCGTCGGGGCAATCGCAGGGAAAAAACGTAGGGAAAACCGTCGGGAGAACCAGCGAGAACCATCGGAGTCGGGACAGCCTTCGGGACAGTCATCGGGACAACCGTCGGGAGAACCGTCAGGACAACCATCGGGGCAACCATCGAGACAACCAACGGGAGGTGGGCCAACGCCTAGGCCAGGACGCCTCATTGGGCAGGAGCTGATCTCTTACTAAGGCTTGTTACTAAGGGCAGGAACTCGCGCAGCTTCGCCTGGCCTCGCCCAGACTCACGTCACGCACGACACGAACCTAAACCGAAATCGATGTCCCGGTTGGGCGAGTCCGTTCCACTTCGATCTCACCCTCCAACTTCCGATTAGCACGTACGTAGCATGCTTGAAATGCCCTGGGTCTGGCCTCCAGGCCCTCAATCTCCAAGAGGCCCAAGAAATTCCCAAGAGAGCCTTGGGACGGGCCCTTCGGACCATCTTAGGACCCGTGAGCGACAGAAGGAAACGGGCTCGATTGCGTGGACAATGGTGCGACAGTTTTCTGCATAATATCGCACGTGCGCACCCTCTTCTCCACGCGGTGTGCCACGCTGGTGACCCGCGTAAATCCGCGGCGTAAAGCCGCTATGTTTTCTCGTGGGGGACCCGTTTCTTTTCGTCGCTCACGTGGGAAGCGTGGACTCCCGACCACGTTCGTTCGTTGGACCTCTTGGAGAAGTCAAGACGCACGTCCAAAGAGTGCCTAACAATTCTGGGAGTCCTTCGCCTTGGCCTTCAAATCGCATTTTCAACGCTCAGCATCCAGCACTCGACGTGGCCTAAGAACATTCCACCAATTCCCTCGCGGCACGGCGGTGGATGCGTAATCATTGCGTTGGGAGCCGCTTGGCTATTGACGTTGCATCCATGATGTTGACATCAGCAGATGTTTGCTGACCACCCTTAGGGAAAGAGATATGTTTGAGGTTGGCTACCCATGGCGCTTGGTCGGGACATGCAGGCCATGCCGCGGGCCGGGCAGGTGATTATCCAGGGGCTCGTGAAGTTGCCGGATTTCAACGGCCTCACCGGCGTTGTGCAGGCTTGCATGATGGGGGGAGGAGTAGCAAATGGAGCAGTGAAGAAGTGAGAGGGGAAAAGGCAGAGAAGGCCTTGAGGACGGAGGAGGAGGGAGGAGTCAAAAGCATGAAAGCGGGAATGAGGGCGGAGGCAGTATGAGGGGGAGGGGGGAGCAGGAGGAAGGATGGTGGAAGAGGAGGGACGCGGTAAGGAGACCAAGAGGAGGAGGAGGAGGAGGAGGAGGAGGAGGAGGAGGAGGAGGAAGAGGAGGCGGGAGGAGGAGGAGGTATTTGGGAGACGAAGAGGAGGGATGATGGGGCGCGAGCGAGCGAGGATGGTTTAATCAAGGATTCGCCGAATCGTATATCGGTATACAGGTATACCGTATATCGGTTATCAGGAGCGACATTTGTACCCGAGCGCGAAGTGATACGCGCGCTGGGGAACCACTTTTGGTTGGTGAGCCTCAAACATAGTTACGTCAACCAAGTGCGGCAGTATTATGTGTTTCGGCAAGGCATTGACCAGCGGAGCGGAAGCCATGCCATTGGTAAGTCCTAGAGCAGGTGTGACGCGGACGGGAACTATCCAAATGCTTGCTGCAAGTCGGCCACCGTGCCGGCGAAGTATTCGGTGTGCCAACCTTTCGAGCACCGCCAGCAAGGCCGTCACATGTGACACCTCTCGTCTCCACACTTCTTGAATGCTCTCATGCGGCTTATTGCGACCGTCTTGGGGCTGTGGTGGGCTCCTGTGGTGCAGTATTGGGGCCGTCTCGGGGCTCTCCTGGGCGGCCTGGGGGCCCTCTTGGCCGTCTGTGCGGTCTCGTGGGGCCGTCGTGAGCCCTTCTTGGGCCAGCTTCAGGCTCTTCTGGGGCTGTCTTGAGCCGATTAGGGACTAGGGGGGAGCCCTCAGTCGCCCCATTTGGGCCCTTCGAAGATCGCAAGTATACGGGTCTTCGACGGTAGAGCGTGGAGGCAAAGCGTTTGAAGCAACGGCAAAACCCCAATATCAATCGAGGCCCTCCTGGAGAGCGTATCGAGGGTGTGTGGAGGCCTCGTGGGACCAGTGGCTCCCTCCGTATTCTCCCTTGGGCCAGCTTCGAGCCTTTTTTTTTTTTTTTTTTTTGTGGCCAGCTTCGAGCTCTCGTGGCGCTGTCCTGAGCTGACTAGGGGGCCCTCTCAGGGCTCTTATTTGGGCCCCCCTGGACCCTCGAAGACCGCAAGTGGACTGGTCTTCGACCGAAGAGTGAGTGGGGAAAAAGCCAGACACCCACACGCTCACACTGATCGTCAATGTGTCTGGCTTGTCGAGGGCCTGTCTTGGGGCATCGTGGAGGCCTGTTCGGACTGATTGGGAGGTTCTGAGGGCCTCTTGGGTGCGTCTGGAGGCGATCTTGGGCCATGTCGGCGACCTGCATGGGCCGTTATGCACACCTTGGAGAGCGCCAGTGAGGCGTCGGGGCGCCTAGCAACCCTCGGAAAGGTTGGTAGTGCATGCAGCCATGTGCTAGACGAGGAGGGGGTCATTAAAAGACTTACATAACCCCTACTGGGCAGCATTTGACATCTCACCACGTTGTGCCATGAGGCTTTATGACGAATACCCGTTGAGGTTGGCGATTAAGGTTGGCAGTGGTTGCGCAAGCCATTGCGAGAGTTTTCTATTGTATTGGTCGTTCCAGGTTGGCATATACAGTCCTCCGGTTGCAGCCCGAAGTGAGGCTAGATTTGCAAATGCGGGAAACAACGCAAATCATCCTCAGTCTGTCCTCCTCCATCTCTTACCTCCGTAGACGGGCTAACGGCGACGTAGGCAACGGCGATGTAGGTTTCGGAAATTGTTCGGCGGCGAGCCCACGGGGGAAGTGAGAAGGGGCGGGCCTTCCCAGAAGGCTCGGAAGTCCCCGGACCTTTGAGAAGTGCTCGACGCCTTCCCCGAAGACACAGCAAATTTCTCAGAAGGCGCGAGGACTTCTGAGAAGTCTCGCCGCCTTCTGAGAAGACCTTCTCCTTCTCATTTCCCCCTCTCGCTCGCCGCCGAATTGTGAGAACGCGTGGCCCGCGTATTACTACCATTCGCTGTGTCGTGTTCGTTCGAGCCTCTCGAGCCACTCGCAGATGGGAAATCTAGGAAGGTGTGGTTCGTGAGTTCCTACCATTTGTTCGTATGCATTTCCTGGGATCAAATTCTGACTTTGCCCTGGTCCGACATTCGGCTTAGTCCCGCTTAATTCGGTTTAATCCGGCTTAATCCCGTTCAATCCGGCTAATCCCGCTTGATCCGCGGCCCAATCCAGCGTAGTGGCCCCCCATTGGGGCTTAATCCTCCTTGTTCCTTCCGACGAAGACCTCCCAGTAGTTGCCTCCTAAACTTTGGTTCCCAACATCACCGTTGAGCAACATCGCCGTTAGCCCGGCGCCTGGCCTGTGGTCCCTCCCGCTCTCTCCTCGAGCGCGGCAGGCTCTCGAGCGCCGCCCGAACTTTTCACCCCGCTCGCTCTGTCAGTGCGTCGGCCGCGGCCCGCCGCAGCCTGTGCCGGAGCACGTCTCGTCGCGCCGCTTCGCTCAGTTTTTGCCCTCGGGGAACGCTGGCGATTGTTCTCCCCCGCCCCCCGACTTCTCGACGAACAATGAAGTCACTCAGATACACCCCCAGGGGGCTATTCGGACGCACCCCTATCGAGCATGGACGCCCCCCCGTCGTATATTCCAGGGTTGGGCCCAAAATTTCCGGTCCATTCGAAAACCTCCCAAAGCTTGGGATAGGGGTCGACATATTTTTGGTTCGGGGAGGTGATGGTTTGCGCCCTTCGGCGATCCTTGTTACAATACAGAGTCCTTCCCCCTTCTCCCCGCCCCTCCCTGAGGATGCCACTCCTGGGGGGGTTAAACTTAGAATCTGCGCTGATGTACCCGCGGTCGAAAACCGGGGCCTCATCTGGCTCCATCCTGCTCAATCCGGCTCAATCGGTTTGTTTTCATCCTGCTCAATCTTGGGCTCAATCCGGCCTGATTTGCTTCGATGGCCACTGATTCGGACTTTCTAGTCCGTCATCGTTCTGACAAAGACCTCGCAGTCAACCTTCGTGGGCGAAAACATGTCCGTATCCGCGGGCTCGATGCCTGGGGCGGAACGTATCCCTACGACCGCACATGCGCGGGGTCGCGCCCCGGAATCCAGACCGCGAGGACGCAGATACGGATATGTTTGTAGCTCGTGAAAGCTCCCGCTCCCCAGTCGCTGGACGCCGAGAGCATGCGGTACGACGTGCTCCTCGACGGCCCCGCCGGCCAGTGCGGCTGGCGCTGGGTCAAGGCGCCGCGTTGCGGGCGCCCACGGATCCGTAAGTAGTCCATGCTAGCGTGCGCCCGATCCCACCTGCCTCTTTAACTCTCCCGACTGTGTCAAAGGA